TTCTCCTAATTCTATTTTTATTTCTATTTCTATGCCTGGTGGGCAAAAGGGGAAAGAATTTCACTATTTGCCCCACCAAAGAAAAATCCCTATATCCAATGAATTCTGTCTTCAGTGTGCTTACATAAGTTATCAAAGTAGAAAGACCAATAGGACCCATATCCCATAGCCAGAGACTGTAGAATAGGTAGAAGTGGTGTCATTTGAAGAGAAGGGAGGCCTCCCTGCCTTCAGATATTGCCTGCATCAGGCCTGAAATACTTCACTTCATCACAATTTCAACAATTACTGTATCATTTGTGTTAAATAGCCATCTCTTGTAAAACGAAAATTACCTTATGGTTAAGTCGTATCTAGTCCCGCACACCTTAGTGTGAATTATTCAAGAAAATGAGAGGTTGAAGAAACTGAGCTAATGAGAGTTTCGATGAGGGACTGGGCTAGACGCAAGAAAAATCCTTTAAGTGTGGATACCCCCCACCCCCCCAAAAAAAAGACGATTCTGAGCGAAGAGCTGCAGTAACAGAGGACCACCTAAAGGTCCTGAACTACTGGGAGTGGAGGGGCGGGACAGAGGAGGAGAGAGAGAGCCGAAGGCGAAGTTCGGGAACTTCGCAATTTCCTTCGGAGTCTATGAATAACACAAACAAGAAGCTCCCCTCCGGCCCCTTCACGGCTACCCAAACTCCAAGGAACTGAGCGGGTGCGAAAGAGAGAGCATTCTTTTCCTCCTAGTCAGAAAAGAAAGAGCATGTGACCTCTCCACTTTTCTATTTTTGCAAATTCTTGAGGAAAGCGGGCCCTGGATGCTCATTAAGCCAATCGCCAGGCTACCTAGAAGTCTGTGGCCGTTTCAGCCATTTCTCTAGGAGCAAGCCACGGAGGGACAGGATGCCCAAAGCCTTGCGTTCTACAGGAATGACCCCAAATTTTAGTGGGGCAAATCAGAACCCTTTCCTCTCAGCCTTTTACTTAGTCTCACGGTGGTGGGGGGGAGGGGATGGAGACTCGCTGAACATCGCTTGGGCACGCGCAAGTGCTCAAGCAAACCCACATCCTACAAGTTGCTACTTTCAGGCGGCAGAAAGCTAATAAGTGGAAGGCAACTCTTTTCTGCGATATGGTCTCTGAAAGCGCCAGATTCCAGATTGCAGGCGGGGTGTTGGATATCCCTACAGGCATTGTTTAATGATTTTATTGAAAAGAAGAGACAGTTGTGAGAAAACAGGTTTGACAAGGAGCTGCGTTTCCCTCCCTCTCGAGGGAATTTCTTTTTTGTCTGTTTCTGACATCAAAGTCAGCAATCGGTTCATTTCAATGTCATAATGATTATTTAATGTATTTATCTGTGCTGAGTAACTTGCTCCCCACGCAGGAGGGCGGGCGGGGGAACTCTTCCAGGGAAAGCAAAGACTGAAATGCCTTAAAAGGTAAACGAAGCTATAGTAAAAACAGGTTAAAAGAAGAGGTTGTAAAATAAACACTGTAGAAAGGAAGAAGAAAAGGAAGAAGGGGGGCAATAGAAGAAAATATGATTTGGTCATAAGCTCTGTGCACTTAATTCTCCTTACAGAATATTGTTAGATATTGGTCTCAGTATTAAAAAAGAAGAAAAAGAAAGAAAAGCGCCATTCTCATCCACACACACACACACACACACACACACACACACTCAACTTTGGAACTATTTTGCCCAAAGCATCCAGTGGAGTGAGAAGAGTTTGGGGGCCCTTGGGGCGTCTCTGCTCCACCTAGAGCCACCACTAAATAGTTTGTCCTCCAAACTCAAGATAACTCTATTGGCCCTGGTCAGATACTAACCACTGAGACATAGGATCTTTCCCCAGAAAGACTCCTCTCCACCAAGCTTAGGGTAGGCACTATATTCCCTCGAGCTGATGCCTCCTGTACCGCCGTCTTGTGGGTACCGGTAAGTGTCTGGTGCACACTCCCTCCTCAACCCCAGTCCTCCTCTCCTGCAGGGTCTTCTCTGAGCCCGCTCTTCAATCGAGCTCTTCTTGAAGACCGACCCCTGTAAACCTAATCTAGGGAGATGTTAAGGGACACTGAGCTATGCAGAAGATCAGAGAGGCTGACAGCTACTGTCAGTTGGGGTTAAATCAGAGACCACACTATCTCACGTAAGGTTCCCACTTGAAGGCTTACCTCGGTTTCCGCATTAGGGGAGGAGGAGACTTTCCCAGAGTGTCCCAAGTCTCCCTCCCAGATTGCAGCCTCAGTCAAGCCAGTCTCTAATTGTCTTCATTTGTAAGAGGGTTTTTGTGATGCTAAATAAGCGTGGTTTAGCCATTCTACCATCCCCTTTCATACCTCCCCTCCCTTACTCGGCCCTTTGTTTACCCTAGCCTGATCTCTCTTTTATTTATCTATCTATTATTTATACGCTTCCCCTCCTATTCAGGCCCCGTGTATGTTAATTGTGTTATACCATTTAATCCTAACATTGGTCTCAAAAGAGCACTTAATGAGAAAAGCATATCCAACACGGATCACTCTGCTATTCAGCTCAGCCAGATGGACAACTGCTAACTTTTTTTTTTAATGAAAATCCCCTTTTCACAAAGGGGTTCCGATGAATAGGCTTCAAATAGTACCTCAAACATAGTTAATTGTTTTTAGGACAATATGCTAATCCACTAGTTTCGACTTGAAATTCTGTTTATAATTTCTCCCTCTTCAATCCACCTCCACATACCTAACCCCATGGAAACACACACATAACAATAACAACACAAAGAAAACAAACCTTAACAACCAGTCCTGCCCCGCCCCCCAGCACACACAGACCCACAACACACACACTCACATAAACACTTCCTGCCTTCTCTCTTGGCTTTCCTAAATTAAATGCAATGCAAAAGACACGCACCCTGTGGGGGAGGGGGGGAGTGGGAAGTTACAATGTGGCCACAGCCAAGGATGATGGAAAAGGTTGGGGGTTTGTGTGGAGAGTAATAGGAGGTTCAAACTCCTGTTTAAATAGATAGGATGGCAGGGGTGTGAAGCCATCCTCCTTTCCTTCAAATTCTGCCAGAAAACAGTTACCTTGGGGTAAGGCCTCGAGGGAAAAAAAACAAAAAACAAAAAATAGAAGCATTTACTCTCACTCTGTCTCTCTCTCTCTCCCCCCCCCCATTCACTCCTTCCTTTCCTCCCTCCATCCTTTCCTTCTCCTTTCTTCTTTCCTTCCCTCCTCCCTATCATCCTTCCTACCTTCCTACCCAGCTTTCCTTTTTCTACTCAGGCTTGAATCCTAGACATAACTTCTTAGGGTTACTTGTCCTCCTAAAGGACATGCCACCTGATTCTTTAAAGACAGCATTGGACCTTTGGTGTGGTTCACCATACTCTTTACTCAAGTGCTTAAGCCAAGTGAAAACTCTAAGGAAGTAGAGCCATGGTGGAATTTTCAAACAGTACAGAAAGTTCTATAATCCGTTTCTTTTGCCATGCACATTGAACTTAAATCCTACTGATGTTGGAAAGATGTTAGGACTATTCCCCACCACCCCCAACAATTTATTCTTCTATGTTTGCCAGTGATTTATTGTGGCAACCAATATTGTGACTTTGGTTTAAAAAAAGAATACACAGACCCCTTGATCACAGATTTAGATCAGCCTTTAGAGAATGCCCATCCCCAGATGCAGACAGGGAAGGGCAAAGATCTGTCTCTACCCTGAGCACAAGAGAAAGGACAATTCTGAATGTGTAAGGAGTCTCTGTAAGAAAGAAAGAAAAAACCCAACCATTTTGAGTACCTTTTACCTTTCTTTCCACGGTGTATATTAACATAGGAATACACTTTCCATATATAGACATATTCATAAAGAGGAATAGATCTAAGATGCTATCATGGCCCCGAGTATCCCTCAGTCTAAATCTACTTAGTCTCTGAATTTTAGGCTCAATGATTGGGAGGAGGGCAGGGAGGGTCTGGGCAAAACACTACATCTCAGACTGTATGAACACCACAGGTTACTTTTTGAGGACAGATTGTCTTTATTCAAAACGTCTTTGTTCAACAAATGAACAGAGTAACGAGGTAAAATCCTTCCGGGTACATTTTCTTTTCCAAGACATCGTCAAAAACATATTTCAATGACCACTTAGGATTTTTTTTTTTTTGCTTTTAAAAAAATCTTTATGATTCTACATCCTGACTTCATAACCCAACGTTCTGTCTAAAGTAAACTTAGGTCTAGCTGCACTGGTTCACACAAATTTAAAGACTATGTGGGTTCTTTTAATTTTCATTTAAAGAAGCAAACACTACCATATCATGGTTTGAAATAGAAATATTTCCCTCTTGTGTAGTTTTAAACTTTTAAGCCGTTTAAAATTCTGACATGGAAAGCAAATGGCGCCTAGTCCTGTCTGATGGCAAACACAGATATGACACAGCTAATTCTGTCTTCGGTGTGCAAAAGAAAAAAAAATATATGTATATTTCTCTATATATAATACCAGGGCCTGGAAGATTAAAGTCCAAAGCACATCCCAGAATATAGAAGAGAACATAAATAAAAGCGAAACTTCCTACTCTTGTCCGAAGGGGATCCAGTCAAAGGTTTGTTTTTGTTTGTTTTGGGGGGGGGGTGGGTTGCGTGGTTGTCAAAACACTTTCAAGTTTCTGGCGCCTGTCTGAGCCTTGAATCCTGGGAGGACTCCCTCTCCCCTTCCCCTTCCTTCTTCCACCCTGAGGCGAAAAAAGGAAAAGTTGTAAGGGGGGCCAGCAGGGGTTGGGATCCGCCAAATTTCTGTGGTTACAGAGAAGTCCTCGCCCTTGGAACAGGGTGGAGCGGGCGCCAGTGGCTCAGGTGGGCTGGAAGGGTAAAGGAGCATAGGGCGGATAATAACACATGCAACCCCCAGCCACCCCGCCCCTGCCCCCGCACCCCAAAAAGGTCCGACTGCTTTCGGCAGGGATAGGTCCGGGGAGGGGGGCGAAGATGGGAGCAGGGTGGGGATCAAAAGGGTTACATGGCCGTCGCGTGGGCTGAAGAGTAAGGGTCTATTCCAGTCTTGGTCATGCCGGGGAAGAGGATGTAGGCAACTGGGGGCTGCAAACTGGACGCCGACCAGGCAGTACAGTTACAGGGCACCACGTAGCCCGGGTTGGTAGGGGACGGGTGGGTATGGGTGTGCTGACTGGGGCAACTGAGACTGCCGAAAGCCCCATTTTGGTAGCCCAAGGTGGACGCGTAGGGCAGAGTGCTGGTCGCCAAGGTGTGAGGGACCTCAGTCATCTTCTGGATGGCGCTGGAACTAAACTGACTGGGGTCCAGGAGGGAGTAAGGTGCCGAGGTGGGGGGCAGGAACGCCCTGGCTTTCTCGGGAGAGCCGAGGAGACTGTCCGTGGTCCCCACGGGCAGTCCGGCTGCCTTGAGGGGATCAGTTTCTCCGAGGTAAGGTAAAGGGAAGACGTACCTGTCCTTCTTGAGCAGGTTCTTGGGCTTACGTCGCGGCCGATACTTGTAGTCCGGGTGTTCCTTCATGTGCTGGGCGCGAAGCCTCTTGGCCTCATCGATGTAGGGGCGCTTCTCTGCTTCGGAGAGCAGTTTCCACTCGGCCCCTAGACGTTTGCTGATCTCCGAGTTATGCATCTTGGGGTTCTCCTGGGCCATCTTCCTTCTTTGGCCCCGGGACCATACCATGAAAGCATTCATGGGTCTCTTGATATGGTCGGTGGGCTTGGACATGGTCCCGTAGGCTGGGGGAGAGGGGGAATAGGGGTTTCTTCAGTGATCAGAAATCGAGTCTCTCAGTCTTTCTCTCCTCTCTCCCACTTCCTCTCTCTCCTCTCTCCCTCTTGCTTTCTTGCGTGGAGGGGGGGGGTCAAAGGAAGCCCCCAAAAATACTCCCTCTAAATGTTCAGCTAATCATACCAGTTCTTCAGCAAATCCAGTCCTTTCAGAAGCGTCCTTCTCTGGGGGGGGGGGTAGGGATGGGGGCCGGGTGGGGGTAGAAGAGGGAGGAGAATGTAAACAGAGCGTGGAGGGGTTGGGGGGGATGCAAAAAGATCCAGAAGTATTTGAGGTCTCTGTGATTAAGCTTTCAAGTATTTGTATAAGAGAGCCTGAGGAAGCTCCCCTTCTCTTCTCTCTTTTTTCTTTTTCTTTTTCCCCCCCTTTTCTTTTCCTGGAGCTGTCTAGCCTTGCAAAGCACCTGGCTGAGAATGAGGGAAGTCTGATGAATACGAGCCAAAAGCGGTGAAGTTCAAAGGCGAGGCTGCTTGGGACTGCACGCAATCTGACATAATCGTGGGGCGTTGACTCCCTAACCTGAACGCCCAATCAGCATGAGAGAGGCAGAGAGAGAATACCTTAAAAGAAAGAAAATAGGAGGAAAGAGAGAGAGGCAGAGAGAGGGAGGGGAATGAGGATTGGAGGGGGGGGGGAAGAAAGAGAGAAAGAGAGAGAGAGAGAGAGAGAGAGAGAGAGAGAGAGAGAGAGAGAGAATGAATTAAGTACAGAGGATTAAAGGGAAGACTTGTGTTAGACACTGCACTATTGCGCTATTAGCAGCAAATAAAACTCTTCACGCCTCCTCTCTTTATTTCCAGGGTGTAGGGAATAAATAGGACTTAAAATACAAAGAATAAGAGGGTGGGACTCGAGGGGGAGCAGCGGAAGAAGGTTAGTGTATGTTTATAAATCAGGCAGCATCTTAAGCAAGGACAACATTCCACCTACCCCACCCCAACTTGTCAAAGACCCCTTCAAAGTAAAAATGGGGGTAAGATTTGAAATCAACTTTTTGTAGCAGTCACTCAACCTTCCCTCCCCACCCCTCGCCCTTCAATTTCACCCGACACAGTTCCTCTCTATTCTCTCCTGACTCTCCTGGCCCCCCTTTCCCCTTCCTCCTCCCCCCCCCCCCCCCCCCGAGACCAGTTGGAACCTAGCAGGTGAAAAGGTGGCAAGGTGGCCCATATCACAGAGCTGGGGCACCGGAGACTTCGTTTCCACACAGACACACCTGGTGGGCCATCAAAAACCATAATCAGTGTGAAAAGCTTAAAAAAAAAAAAAAGCCCCGGAGCTATGACGATTTGCTAAAGATGAAAACAATCTGTTATTAACTGAGGGAGGAAGGTTTGCCTTTCCAATTCCAGTTTTATCCAGCTTGACTTTTTTTTTATTTAAATCTAGCTTCCCCTCTGCACCCCTTCTAAATTGGAACAGAATAATGAAACCCAACACTGCCCTTTGATTAATTTGATGGGGTTTAAACCAGCGACGGAGAGCCTTTTACCTTCATAATCTTTTCTGAGCAATTATACTTTGTACTTGGCTTTTATGCCACACAGCCCTTCATAAGGTTGCGCTCCTACTGTCAGGCGTCTTTGAACCAAAGGGTGACTGTTACTATTATTATTATTATTATTTTCAATAGATGGTAATTCTCTGGGTAAAGAGCACTAAATAACCCCTAAGAATCAACCTGCCCGCCTGTTTCTTTTGAATAATTGCCTGCCTAATGTGAAATGCCCTTGGGGAAAATATTTATTAAATGGAAACAATTGTCTTGGGTCCGGTGGGACGTCAGTTGGTTAAGGGTTTACTGGCTTTTTGCACCAGGCTGCTCAAAAAGAGATTTGTCCCTTCGCTTCGAATACCTTGGAATGCTTTCCTTGTTGAGGGGTTTTCTTTTCACATTAAAAAACGCATTTAGAGCAACAACTTGGAGGAAAACTTCTCATTTTCTCCTTTGCCACCAGAAAACCCGTATTCGGAATTCGTCCCGACTTTGAATTAGTAAGAAATGGTCAGCCTTTCGGAATGTAAGGAAAGACAGCTACACGGATAGAAAGAGTGGATGAGGGATTTCTGTGAGTTTGATGTGCTCTGCAGCAAAATATGAAATCTCAGACGTGAATAGGGGAGCCTTAAAGACTGTGCAGTGGAGATAAGATGCCCATTTTGGGCTCTATTAGGTAAGGTTTATTTATTTCCCAGTCGCACTAGTCCAGAGAAGGGCATATTCTGCTCTCGATTCTCTACATGCCCACACCTATGCATTTTCAGCTATGCATACACATACACGCCTAGGGAGCAGATGTACAGCCTTTGTATTCCTTTTCGCCCACATTATTTCCCCAGATGCCTTAGCTTCTCTTCCCCATCCTTTGCATTTCTGTGCAATAGGTTAGTTTCATTTGGCGTCAGGTAAAAGGGGAAAGGAGAAATGATTTAAGGTCCATTCACCTGCATAGCTTTCAAAGTGCTTCCAGGCACCACCTGCTACCTACGTTGTTCTCACGCACTTGGAGGGATGTGAACAGATTATCTGTTATACACAGATACGGTCGGTGAGCTCATTATTCTAGGTGTAACTGGCAAGCTTTAATAAGGGGCAGTGATCCTGCAAATATTGGGAAGAAACAGATAAGTCCCTAATATTGAAAACATACAAACAAACCAAAACACCGACCCCAAACCGCTACTCTAGATGAATTCACACACGGTAAGAACCGGAGCTCTGTTCCTCTAAACATTTGTACTCCGTTACATAATCGGAAACTCTCAGCAGCGCGTTGATGAGGGCCAATGTAACAAAAAACCTGCCTAGTTAGCGCGCACATTGCATCCCGACCTACACCTCCCCCCGCCCCCGCCCCAGTCTGAGATTCCAGTATGCACTGATTTTTATTAGATTTTTGGAGAGGAAGGTACCCTCCTCGTGTATCTTATTTTTATTCCCTTCTTTGATGCTTTCGCCAACCCTTCGGAGGAGTGAGCTTTTAAGTTACCTCTCAACCCCACCCCTTGGGTCTCCATCCTCTCCAGGATGATAGTACAGCATAGATCTGGTCAGGGAGATGGAGATGCAACATTTTCTCGCAGATCCTACGAAGAATCAATGATTCCCACACTTTACGGTGAACTCCTCCGTTCCCCCCTTCCGCGGTGGCACTTACCCCTAGCCAGCGTAGGGTGATGTCACATTCATTCTGTTTGGGCTAGGTCCACCTCAGCTACTCTTTGGCGATTAGTTTTAATATCACAACCAGGGCTGTGCAAAGGAGCTCAGAAGGTCGCGGGCAGAGGATAATGGGGGGGGGGCGGATATGACTGGTACGATTGATTTACGCCAGATGCAAGGCTGATAGCATCCCGCCCCCCAGCCCCTGCTTATGGTGGCTCTCTTCCTCCAAGCTGCGGAGCCGAATCTCTTCCCACTGCAGCTTTCCCCCTGAGTAGGTGGGGTGGGGGAGGGAGGGAGAGGGAGAGGGAAATCTTGAGCAAAGGTTTTTTGGGGTAAGGCATGAGCGAGAAGGCGGCTGCTGCAACTTTCTTGGTTGCTTTTCCGATTGCCAGCCAGCGCAGGGGTGCTAGAAAGAGAGCACTGCCCGGAGTGAAGTCTTCTCTAATTAGAACTTATGCCCCTCAGCACCACCACTTCCACTCTTCTCTCTTGATCATCCCCACCTCCAAGCTAGCGCTCCCCACCTCTTCCAAATCCATAACACACCCAACTTTTCCACCTGCGCTCCTGCTTCCCTGTCGCGGTTTTCTGGTATTGACAAAATTACTGAGAAGGCGTAGGGAACGCCTCTCCAGCCCTAGTAAGTTTGGAGAACAGCTCCCTTTCCTACATTTATACTAGCAACTGGAAAACATCATGCTGGCCAACACCCCGTGAACATAAGTACTGTGAGCTCAACTCTTAAAACGGTGTCTGAGGAGGTGGGGGGAACTTTCCTGGAGTACGTACTTGATCTCCACTTTGAGAATCAGTGCAACTTGTCGCATCCCACCAGGACTCTGCTCAGCACCGAAGTCTACTTTGCCCCATTTGATCCAAACCAAATTAGTACTGCTTCACCAAAGAGTCCTAAAATTCGATTCTAGTCCCAGTTGTGCTATTTACTAGTGGGGTGGCCTTGGGCAAAATCAACTAGTCTTTACCGGACCCAGTTCCCTCATATGTGAAATGGGGACAATAATGTGAGAACTAGATGTGTTCTAGGATCTGAAAGTTTCGATTGGTAGCAAAGATGGTCATTGTCTGCATGGTCATTGTCATCATTACGCTTGCTGGTGAACCTTGAAAGTCTTGCTCCGACCATTAGCCCTTTCTAACAACAGGGCTTACTTTCTTTCTACCCATTTTCTTTTCTTGGGATTCCTTCTCTACCCCTACCTCTTTTCCTCGTTCGCTTGGTTGCTCCAAGTTTACTTGCTCAAGAGTCCCCGCAACCCCTTACCAAAACAGACTTTTCACTCTGCATAAGTGTTTGAAAATTAAAAAAACAAAACAAAACTTATTTTCACAATAATTTTCAAGCACTTTTGGTCTCTGCTCAGGGCAAGAACGAAATGTAGAATACAGACTTACAAGTTAAAAACCTTCCTTCCTTTTCCTACCCCATCATATGCCGAGGCACTGGCTTCCCTTCCCTAGCAGCCAGAGCTTTCACTACACTCTCTGTAGAACTGTTTTCTCCGACGGCCGCTGGCTGAATTCCCGCCCCCCCCTTCCCCCCTCCTCCCCGCCCCGACATCTCTTTCTCGGTTGAGATCCCGGAGAGAAGCAATCTCTCCGGGATCTCAACTGAGCAAGGGAAATCCAAACAGTCACGTCTACCAGTGGAAAGAGGGGACCTTAAAGAAAGAGTATTATAAGCCCCTGAATCTGACTTCGTGACGCCACTTTTGGCAGTCCTAAAGCAAATTCTTAAAATGATTTGAAAAGG